CCGGTGGTATCCCCTGCAAACAGAGGCTGCCACCATGCAGCTGCAGTAGGTGGAAGTGTGTTGGGAGAGTTTGGCTGTTGCCTTTGGTTTTGTTCTTGCAGTAATGGTGACTGGTAGGTCTGAGCAACCTCACTTTTATATCTTCACCCTGAGATTATCTGCAGCATGCATGTGTGGCTTAGTTCTTAGGTTTGCAGATACTATGCTCTGCAGTCCAGCACTCACTGCTACAGCTGCATTGGGGTGCTGCTAGATCTGGGTGGGTGAGGGGAGGTGGTCAGGTTCTGTGGCTTTATTTTTCTGTCTGGAGATTAGTACTTGCCAGACAGCTGCATCTTTGCACATCTGTGCTGTGTCCCTGCCTGTGTCACTGGTTCAAGTGCATTGCTAACCCACCACTCCCACTGGAACACACTGTATCTCTGCTCTTCCCAGCTGAATGGAGTACCAGTGGCAACCTGATTATACCCTCTCCTGAGACTTGCCGTGAGATCCAAGCTCCGTGCTGCAGGCTGTTTCTGAGACCCCCATCTCAAGCTTTTCTCTCGTCTCTCCTCCCCTGGCTCACTGCAGCTGCACACCACTGGCCCACTTCAGATGTTTGAAGAAAAGTCCTTGTGGCATTCTGTAATAGGATGTATACATTAGTGGTAGGAGTTGTCTTGCCTTCCTAGAGGAGAAACTACATAAAGCACAGGTGGCAAACACAAGGCCTGTGGGCTGAATCCGGCCTTCCACCTTGTTTCTTCTACCTGTGGCAGCGCTGAGCTCTCACTTTATGTTGCGGAGTAGTTACACTTATATAGTCCTAAAATTACATTTAGCCCTTTGATGGCAAATGTGAGGCTGATGTGGCCCCCAGTGAAAATGAGTTTCACACCCCTGACAAAGGAAAAAATGGATAGGAAATAGAAAAGAAAACAAAGGATGGTGAAGTTACATGAGAATCTATGTGTTCAGAATAATTTTATTTTCATGTTACAAATAAGGGATATTCTTTTTATTATTCTATATTAGTTCCTACTCATCCAGTAAGTACATTCCTAAGAAATTTATTTTTGTTAAATTTTCAGCAGACTTGTTCATGACTTTTTGTGCTCAAATTATATAATTTTCAGGGAAGCATTTCCTGTTTTTGTTTTTATTAAATAATTGTGTTACCACAAAGAGCTTTATCTTTTACATTTTATAAAAGGGCTTTTCCATGTATACATGGTGTAGTAACTCTTAAATTGCATCTCTTAAATCTGATTTAGAATAACTATACTAGATATATTTGAAACTTAAAATACAGTGTTTATAATTCATTTCAGCTTATGCTACTTAATTCCTGTCTGGTAATTTAATGTCATACAGTTTCTTTAAATATTTTTAAAGATTTTATTTACTTTTTAGGGAGAGGTAAAGGGAGGTAGAAAGAAGGGAGAAAAACATCGAACAGTTGCCTTTCACATGCCTCCAACTGGGGACCTGGGCTTCAACCCAGGCATGTTGCCTGACCTGAAATTAAACTAGCGATCTTTCAGTTCACATACTGGCACTCATCCTACTAAGCCACACCAGCCAGGCCTAATGTCATAGAGTTTTTGAAACTCCCCCATAGTTTGTTTTACCTGCTCTCCATTACTTTTTGTCTGGCTATTTCCATTCATGTACATGTGTGAGTGTGTCTGTGCACTGACACATGGGTTTTTTTGGGGGGGATGGAATGTCACAGATTGATTAGCAGGTAATTAATGGAAAGATGGGGTAACAAAGAACCCTGTGTATGTGGAAATCTTAATTCAAAAAAGAGATTATGATTTAGTGATTTAAAACTAAAGAATTTTTGATTTGAGAAATGGAAAGTATAAAACTTTTATTTCAGTGATAGACTTCTGTGATATATTAGTTAAGTATTAGTTAAATGCCTGTGGGGAGTCTGGTGAAATTTAAGCATAAATTTTAGGTACCACTGACAATTTTATATTAATCAGAAGTTAACATTAGGCATCTTAAAAATTGTGTGCTGCCTCTGCTTGTTAATCCTCAAATTCTCCTTTCTAGGAAAAGGAAGAAAAAAGTAAAAATGCAAATAGCTTTTAATAGTAATCCTCACCCAATTTTTTTTTATAACAGTAATAACATTACATGCTATATAATTCACTCATTAATGAAATGGTCAGGTCTCATGTTGCCTTTATTTTTTATTTTTGATGAACTGCCAAACTATTTTCCAAAATGGCCACATCATTTAATATTCCCCTCAGCAATTTCTCTACAATCCCCCCCAACCCTAGTTACTGTTCATCTTTTGTATTATAGCCATGCTAGTGTGTGTGAAATGGTATCTCATTGTGGTTTTCATTGTCATTTTTATTTGTTAAGCATCATCATTAGATAAATGCTTATTTGAATCTTTTGCCTGTTTTTAATTGGGATAAAATAATACTTTATAATTGTAAGTGTGTGATTCAGTGGCATTAAGTACTTTCACAATCTTGTGCCAAAGCAACCACCACCACCATCCAACTCCAGACCTTTTTCTTCTTCCCAAATTGAAATTTGGTACCAATTAAAACAGTATTAAAACACCTTTCCTTCTCCCAGCTCCTGGTAATGCCTTTATGCTCTCTGTCTCTTTGAACTTGACTCTTCTAGGTAACTCATAATGGAAAAATAAAACCCTTGTTTGTGTCTGGCTTATTTCACTTAGTATATATCTCTTTCCAAGATTAACCCAGGTTGCTTCATGGGTCAATATTTTTAAGGCTGAATAATACCCCTTTGTACATGAATTATAGTACATTTTGTTAACATTTATCTGTTGGTGAACATTTGGGTAGCTTACACCTTTTGGCATTTGTGAATGATATTGATGTAACATGTGATTGGGTACTTGCTTTCAGGTCTTTTGGGTATATGCATAGAAATAGAATTGCTGGATCATATAGTAATAAGTTTTTGTTGGGTTTTTTTTGGAACTACTATACTGTTTTCCACAGAGGCTACACCATTTTACAGTACATCATTTTATAATCCTACCAGCAATACTTCTAATTTCTTTACATCCTTGCCAGCCAGTACTGTTATTTTCTGTTGTGTGTTTTTGGATAACAGTCAACCTAATGGATGTGGATATTCCATTTCATGGTTTTCGTAAATTTCCCTAATGATTAGTGATGTTGAGTATCTTTGGTTGTGGTTATTGGCCATTAGTATATCTTCGAAGAAATGTGTTTATTCAGGTACTTTGCACATTTTTTAACTGGGTTATTTGTTGTTGTTGAGTTGTACTTATTTATATATCCTGGATATTAACACCATATTAAATATATAATTTGTGAATATTTACTCCCATTTTGTGGGTTGCGTTTTATTTACTCTTGGTGATAGTACACTTTGACATATGTAAATTTTTTATTTTGGTGTAATTTAATTTATATCTTTTGTTGCCTGTACTGTGGGGGGGGGGTGAGAGAGAGAGAGAGACAGAGACAGTATCTTTTATAGCAACACTGATTGATAGCTTGGGAATGTATCAGGAACCTTCCAAGCTCTAGTGATGAATAGACCTTTTTAAAACTTTTTTGCTTCAATTTTATAATTGGCTACAAATATTTGAGTTGTTTTTCTTCAATTGATAGATTCACTTCATTTATTTTTGAGAAGGGGTGTACCAGGTGTCTCCTGGTTTCAATAAGTGTTGACAGTCCTTTCAAGTAAAAATGGCTTGTTATGAAAAATAGCCACTAGTTCAGTTGGCAACAGTAGTGAACTGTTTTTTCTTGAGGTGTCCATAGTATTTTGACATGCAGGAGAAGTCCTTTGTGCGTACTTCTTGTGTGTTACATAAGGGTATTAAAAATACGTATGTTCAAAAGTTGATATTTAATAAAAGTAGTAAATTTTTTTGTTTTAATAAACTTTCATTGAAACAGGTTTTTTGGTTTGTTTTACTGTGAGATTGTGGTAGAGAAAAAAATGATGACTACTAATAGTACAGTTTGGTATTGCTGCCTTGATTTGTGGTAAAGGGTCATCAGTTTTACTCACCACTGCTTTTGCACCAACAGTGCAAATGGCAACACAATGAAAAACTAAACTATTATTATGAAAATAGCTTTGACCTCTTGGACCATACTTTCAGATCTGCTACCCTAGCTTACCCATACAGTTGCTGTATGGGATGGAAGGATGATTGCAGATTAGCACTCCCTTTATTTTGTGTAAGTAGCTACCTGTGTAAGATATCTGTCTGCTGCCACTAATGAATGGATGCACTGTTTGGGGAAATGGTTGGGCTTCCTGACTCTTGCATCCCTGGATTTAGGCTCTTTAGGTATCAAAACAAAATTTCCTCATACTAATGGTAAAATATGCGGGGACAGGGATAAAAAGATTTATATTCATTTGAGTAAATAGTGAAAAGTACATAAAGAAATTATGTATTTCTATTGTGCAGTACATATTGGATAGAATCTATGATACACCTTTCAAGTGAAAATAAAGGAGAAATTGAAGTTTATTTACTGTGCAACAAATACAAAAAAATCCTTTACTTGTCTGTATAAGCATTATAGCTTGGGTATGGCATCATTCGGACTCATACATTTAAAATTATAAATGTGGACTTGGGTCAATATCTAATAATCTATTTTAAATGGCAATAACACCTCCCTGGTTAAATTTGTTCTGTGGCTTAGAATCAAAACAAAATGCTGTTTTTAAAATGTTAAGAATAAGATGTAGCACATTATAGACTTTCAGCCAGAGGTAGTTTATTTTAAAAGTTTCTTATTTCGTTTGGGTCAGGAATTGGGAGAAATGGATAGAACCAGGTTGGAATTTGTCAGATTGATCAGTCATGGTACATGCTGCTAAACAAAGACTTTCTAACTACTACTACAAACTTAGATCTTCATTTTGTTACTGTTCATGATGGTAAATTCTGTATTTGTTCTTTGTGTTCAAGAATTATAAAGCAACATGGTATTATATTTTTTAATTTTTGCTTATAGGATTCAGTGGTCCCAATTTAAAGGCTATTTTACTTTCAAACTGGAGAAAGTGATGGATGATTTCAGAACTGCAGCTCCTGAACCAAGAGGTCCACCTAACCCTAATGTCGAATATATTCCCTTTGATGAAATGAAGGAAAGAATACTGAAAATTGTCACTGGATTTAATGGGTATGCACTTAATACTATTTTAAAGGTTTGCTGTTTTGATTTTTTTTTTTTTTTTTTTTAAGTTTTCATGTGTCTGGTTGTTTAATACTAACTGATTATCTCTTAGAATATTGCTCTTTTTCTCTAGTGGCATATAGTGGTTACTGATTTTCAGTGTACAAATATTTTAAATGTTTACAACTTAAAATTTTTATAAGAGTTTATTTGAGCCAAACTGACTACATGCTTAGAAGCAAGGTCCCCAAATGCTCTGCATTTGAACGTCATAGTTTCACAGTTTCTTTCATGCATTGAAATTTGGATTCCAGCATTGTTAAGATTATTTGCTTTCTAGAAGGCAGATGCCTTGTAGAAAGAGGGGTCTGAAAAGTCATTTAAAAGGCGTTACCCCACATGCAAAGAAACAATGGACAGGGCTTTTTAAAGGCAAAGTTATGCCTTTTAATAAAGAAGTTGTATGCCTGAGGCTTGACTACCCACCGTGATTTGCCTACTTAAGAATTTATGATCAGATCAGCCTGTGAGGTTTCTTCCCATAGACCCCCTTTACAGTTCCTCTTTTTAAAAGGTCATAAATCAATCCAAAGGATGCATTGATGACCAACCATTTTGTCTGATAGTGTGATCTCACAGCTGGAGGAAAGCTTATTCTTAGGAAGTCTCAGCATGGATGTTGTTTTCTTGTTGACAGTTGGAGATGGGGCTATAACCATGGGATGTAATTTGAGGCTGAATTTTCCCCAAAAGGGAAGGGCAGGTAAATGGAAGGCAGTCTTAAAGCTAACTTCATTATGGGGGAAAAATCACTCTGGATCATTTCTATAACTATCGTGATTCTGTCTTATTTTTTTGTATTTGGCATTTAGTATAATAATTATATCAGCCACAAAAAGTATTAATTATTTTATACATGTTCAGTAATCATAAACAGGTGGACTATTTGGGAAAACACAAATAATGAGTATAACTATTATTATGACTAATATCATTAGCAAACAGGTAAAGACAATCAAACAAAATGGATTCTGAGTTCAACATCAATCCATAGACATGCAGGCCTTGTCACTGTCAAGGGATAGCTGTCTACCTCTGATGTCAGCAGCTTCTCATCCTTGAGGAGACTTTGATGTCCATTCTGGGAGGAGGAGAGTGTCAGAGGCAGAGGTAAATGTCCATTCGTGGTTAGGTGCCTGATAAGTTCCCTTCTAACAAGTTGGAGAGTATCTTTTATTTGGTGTTCTTTCCAAAACTAAAATCTAAGGAGTGTCCAGCCTGTGGCACAGGATGGCTTTGAATGCAGCCCAATACAAAATCATAAATCTACTTAAAACATGAGATTTTTTTGTGATTACGTGTTGTAGTGTATTTAATGTATGGCACAGAGATGCCAAAAGGTTGAACACCCCCGAAAAGTTTGTGTCCTGGGACAGCAATGTGAATGGAAGCTATCAACTTGGCATTTTCTGGAAGTAACTCTATCAGACCTTGGCAGTAGTGTAAGATACCTCCTTTCAATAATGTCAGCTCATAATTTCCTTCATGTAAGTTCAGCTTAAATGCATTGTGATGCATGAAAATGTAAAAACTGTAAAATGGGGAGCCAGGGAAGAGGGAAGGACCAAGAGGCTATCTTGGGTTCATGTCCATGGGTCGTAACATAAGCTCTTTGGCTTCTCCCTTCCCTATACTGTTCATAACCTACTGTCTATTTTGTACCTGCCATTTATGCTTCATATTCCCTGGACCATTTCCCCCATTCTTCCCCCACCCCATCCCCACTAATAGCCCTCCATGTGTTATCAGTTTACCTGTACATAGATAGATGTGAGATGGCCGGGTCCACCAGCCATCAAGGTCCTCCAACTGCTGCCTCACTCTACTAGTCCTCCAGCTCTGCCGCCTTGCTGGGTGTCTTCTCTGTCCAGGCTGCCCATCTCCGCCCCTCCTACTAGACTGCATGTATGTTTCATCTTTAACTCCTTGGTTGTTGGACTTATATACAGGACAATTTTCTGGCGGTTTTGATTATTTCGTGTTTTTAAAGTTGTCCTCTTTTGTTGTTGTGCAACAAGGCAAAACGTATCTACCCACGCCTCCATCTTGCCCGGAAGTTAATCATTTATTTTCCTATGCAGTTTTAACATAAATGACAAATCCTTTGAGATGTTCCAGGTGTCCTTCTGGAACACTGCAAAGTTACTTCTACATATATTGAGAGTTTTCTTAAAACCTCAATTTCTAACGAAAACTACGAAGCAGTTAACATTCTTTAGCTTGGCAGATACCAAAATACATTTTACAACCTCTAGAAACAGAGTCTTTTACTGGTAGATATATTTAAGACATTGCATATCCAAGTCAATTATGAACATAGACTATTTTTTGTAAAACCGAAATAAAGACATATCTGTTTTACTTAAACCTACAGATTTAAACTAGCTTTAATTTACTAAGATCAGTCTTAAGTCATGTTAACATTAGAACATTTGAATTAGTTTCCGTATTTCAAAATATTTAGAATACCCAATTCTTATGAGCACTTTCCTTTCAATTAGTATTAACAATACCATCCAGATGTAGAAATTTCACATTTTCAAACACACATATGTAGGCATACAAGATAACCACAAACAGAAAACTGTTGGAATAAAATTTTGTTCTGGAGGCATTTGCAATTTGTATCTGTCCTCGACAAGTCAAGTTCCAAATGACCTGGATTTTTAATACATCAAAGAATTGAATTTACACCTAAAATCATTTTTGAAGCTTCTAGAGATCAATTAAATATGCTTTCCATTCTTCCTGCCTAGTTTTATAGCTGGCTGTTTTCTAATTGTGTAAGCCAAAAAAAATAGTATCAAAGGAACCACATCTTAGTATTAATGGGAGGCAGACTGTTATGGGCCTTGTTTGCCCGGGAGGCATGATTGCCCGTTAATTTTGAGATCTGTAGAGTTTGAACAAAAACTTCTAGGGAAAATCAGACCTTTTGTGCACATCTCCAAAGTGTCAAATGCTTCATAGTGTGTAGGAAATTATTCCTCTGGCAACCCCACAAAGACTCTTAGTCACTTAAGAGTATCCAAGCAAGGGCCATCAGGAGCTTACCAGATGCTGCTAGAACCAAGATGCTTTCCAAGGCACAGGCCCCTTACTCAGGGTGAACCCCTTTCAGCGCACCTTGACCTTTTACCTGGGACTCCCACTGGCTTCACTACCACACTGGGTCTCCTGGCACCTATCTCTGCCCATCTGGATTAGAGAATCGGAATAACTGTTGTTACTCTGTTGGCTATTCAGGTTGGGGAAGCAAGTGTCCTTTCTCTTTAAGAGCTAAAGGGGGGGGGGGGTGGGATGGGAGAAATAGATGAAAAAATGTACTTGAAAAGTAACTAAATAAAATTTATTATGAAAAAAAAAGAGCTAAAGAAAGTTGTTTCTCGTTTAACCAGCAAAGATTTTTTTTAATACTCTCAGTAAGCAATCCAATTAAAAGCAGCAATCCATGGTTTTTCCTTTCCCTCAGTTATCTCAACCATAATCCACTTCGAGGATTTTCTAAGAACAGCTCAAATTAACTCGTGGCCTGCTCCTTAAAGCAAGGAGGCCCAGAATTCCAAGAGAAGAATCACCCAAGTTCACCCGATATGAAGCAGGGAGCTGGTGTGGCACAGTGTGTCCTTGCTTGTACCCAGCACAGGGTCTCAGTATGCAGGGTGGTCCTTCTTCAGATCCTACCAGCTACTCCAAGTAAATGTTGACCTAAACATCCAAACCTGTAGAAAATTTTTAAAAGAATTTATTTGGTCCAAACTAATGACTTACGCATAGGACAAACATCAAAAATGCTCCCATGGCTGCTGCTTCCTTTTTTTTTTTAATTTGAACTTTTTTTTTTTTTGGAACTGCCTTCAGTAACATTCAGACTTTAAATTATTTGGGTGTGACAATGGAAACATGCATTTATCAGAAAATGTTTCAATGTTTTTTCTTTGCATTTTATATTTGGTGTTACAAACTTTATACTCTGTGTAAAACCTATATATCATTGAGATGTTACATTTCTTTTAAAATGGAAATTAAGAATTTATGTAAGTTAATGACTTTTTATTTTAAAATTTTTGGAGTCCCCCCTCTCCTCCCCAGCGAGTAACCATTTTTAGTCCTTTGTAAAACATTGCACTTGATTAGATATGCTGCAGTAAAATAAAACTGATGTTTAAAAAAATGTTGCTATGTCTCTGTGATTTAAAATACTTTATTTTCAGGACTTTGTATTTTTAGTTTTCTTTGTTGAAGGAAAGTAGTATTTGTGAAGTTGAATTGTTCAGTATTCAGTTTCGCATTAACAACTTCAAGTGTGGGGTGACCATACCAAATTGAATGAATTACGGATATTTTAACCGTAAATTCATATTTAGGGACAGATTTTATTTGAAGGGGTTTTATGTATTTTTAGGTTGCATAACATTCTCAACTATATAATCACGTGGGATTTTGAACAGATAGTGTAATTCAGATAACTCTGTTATATTCCATGTTCCCTTGTTTTTAAGTTTAGGAGTTTTGCTTAAAATAGCAAATTCTTATGCTTTGATTTCAGTCTGTTACTAAAATATTTAGTGGGGGAGGGAAAGAAATTACAGCTTTATCCTGAGTTTCATCAATAATAGTCACTCCAGGGATTTAGGATGAGAAGCAGACTTATTTTCATTTCACTCTTGTACTGTTGAAAGTTATTTTAGTAATACCATTTTCAATTCTTTCAAATTAAGTTGGACTGGACACAAATATATAGGCCGATGTAGGCTATTAAATTAATCTAAATGTAGTTTGTTAGTCTATTTATCAGGTAGTGGACCTACCTCCAAAAATAACTTGAATAGTTATTAAATGCCTAAACATACTTAGACATACCAAGTTGCTTTTAAAACATGTTTCTTCTTTGAACCATGAGTATTTTTTGGACTTATTTTTTTAATTTTCAGAATGGCGGTTTATGAATCATTTTTTCTAATCAGGCATAATTCATCTTTATCAGTGACATAAATCAAAAAAACTATTAATATCCTTTTTTCTGTATTAAAATATATTGGTACATTGAAACCTATTTATAATCCTTTTCAATTTTATTTTCGTGTTTTAAATACAAAATCATTGCTGTAAAATTTTTTGCTGAGAGTGGTGGGTAGAAGTAGCATTTTGGTTTTTTTCAACTAGTTCGAGGGTTTGGCCTTTTTAGTGTACAACTCCTGCTATTTATAGTGAATTATATTCTAAATTACAAAGTGATATATGTTCACAGTTTTAAAAAGATCCCCAGATGTCATAGGAGTACATAAAGAATAAAAGTATCATTTTATACGATGGTTTTGTTTTCTTTTTAGAAGAGCTTTGAAATCTCTGTATCAGTACATTTACAGCTCTGTCTTTTGTTTACCTATGTATTTCAAATGGTTGCATTATTTTCTGTTATATGAATAGGTTATAATTCACTTTCCCTGTCCCCATTACAAGTAGTGTTTATAGTGAGTTTGTACATACCTTTTTGTGTTGATGAATGTTAATGTATTTCTTATATATATAGATTTATTGTTGCTTTTAATTTATAGAAATGGAATTGCTAGGTCATGGACACTGCCAAATTGACATCACAAATGTGTTCAAACATACAGATGTGTTCATTCATGCACATGGTGTAATTATTCATTTTTGCATGTATGTGTGTGGGCTTGTTTCTTAGATTGCAAGAGAAATTAAACATCTTTTTATGTCCTTTTTGACTCATGAATTGAAGTTTTAGATCCTTTTTTATTTTGCTTTTCTTACGTATTTTATTTTTTAACTTTCTTGTTGGCACTATTACCGATATCCTCATTTCCTCCCCTTTGCCTACCTCCACCCACTCCCTGCCCGCCTTCCCTCTGGCCATCACCACACAGTTGTCTGTGTCTATGTGTCACACATGCATGTTTTTTTTTGTTTTTGTTTTTTTTTAGCTAATCCCTTCACCTTTTTTTTTTATTTGTTTGTTGCTATTTTATTTGAGGTTCCACTTAGGAAAAAAAAAACCTGTGTTTGAAAAACTGAAATATATATGGGGAGTTTGCATGCAATTTTGTTAGCATTTGACAGTGGTTTTTTTTCCCACAGTTTGTGTTTTTTTGTATTCTTTCCCATTTGTCCCCTATAACCTCTTCCATGTCCACCCCATTCCTTTCATTTCATGTAGTACCTGCTCTCTCCCCTCCTCTCTGACAGCAGTCAGTCTTGTTCCATGTGTCCATGCCTCTCTTTCTGTTTTGTGTGTCAGTTTATTTTGCTCATTAGATTCCGCATATAAGTGAGATCATACAGTATTTGTCTGTCTCTGACTGGCTTATTGTGTTTAATTAGTAAAATTTGTATTAAATGCTATGAAATATTTGGACATGAAAAAGATCATCCATTTTCTAAAATTATTTCTGTATATTGTCATCCTGTAAATTTTTCCTCTTTGAAGTGGAAATGTTCTACTTACATGTTGGCTTGATTTCCTGAACCTGTAAGATTCTGGAAAGTGGGGCTAATGTCTCTTCCAAACAAGGCCTGGAACAGTGAACCTAAGCATAGTAGGTTCTCAAACAAGTATTGAATGAAGGAACAGAAATAATAAAAACACATATCTTGCCCTGGCTGGTATCAGTGATTGAGTGCAGGCTGCAAACTAAAGGGTCGCTGCTTTGCTTCTTAGCCAAGGCACATTGGCTAAGATTGAGTAGTGCCCTTTTTTGCTCTTGTTTTCTTTTTAGGACATGTTTCTTAATTTAACTAGAGAATTTTATTGGGAGAAGCCTTAATATTTTCCGGAGATAGAATAAGCTATTTTGTGTGCTGTGTTTAATGGAAGAGTAACAGAAACCAAACCTTTCTGTCCTCTTAGCAGTTGGTACATACTATAATATGGTAATATTATATTATTATTACTTTATGGTAATACTATTATTACCATATTATAATTATATATATGTCTATCTGCTCAGATAGTAAATTTTTCTAGTTTATAGTAGGTCCTTATAGTTATCTGAAAGTAATAATTATATAAAGAGACCTTTTAATGCAATTGTCAAAATTGTGTTGAAATTTCCAGTGGATACTGTTATATACAAGTAAATATTTTTGTCTGTTCAAGTGAGGAAGGGAAAGTGTTATATGACATTTTAGTGCTATCTCTTAGGCACTTGTTAAATAGACTTTAAAAACTTTGAAAGCATCTAAGAATGTAAGCCTGTTTTATCGTAGACTATTATTGTTGATATTGCTGTCTGTGTAAACATAATACATATTTTCCCCTAAAAGTAGTAGTATTCACAAAACATAAATTGTTCCTAATTAACAGCAATTTTACTTACCTTATTAAAGAAAATTAGCCAAACATTTAGTGTTAACATTGTTAAACAGGAAATTTTAGGATTTTCATTTTTTTAAAGCTAGTTTTAATTTGAGACATTATTAGCTTTTGGTGTGTGAAAAATACTTAGTTGGAGGAAAGACATAACTAGACATTGTCTAAGTATTTTTCAGTTAATTATTTAAAAATTCTTAACACCGGGTGCTATTTTATTTACTTTTGAATAATATAGAAACTGTCGTGATTATCAGTATGAGGTATTTAATGAGGAAATAACATAGGTGGCATCTGTATAAGATTTAGAGAGTAGGGATCTAGAAGAGGGGCTAAGGTTCAGGCATACTACTATACTGTAAAATCATTTAATGCATTTAAATTATATGTGTATATAACTAAATTACATATTGACCATAATATATCTGAAGAGATCCTACCCTTTAGAAGCTTTCAATTATGAGATAAGACGGTTTTGAAACTGATGTTTGTTACAACACACACACATACACCATAGGTTGGGAAAATGCTTGATTTTAAAATGGATTTATAGTTTTGTGTATTAACTATAGGTTTCCAGTTTTGTGTTGTCTTTATAAAAATTAGCAAAAAACATGTAAGCTTACTGTTTATATTATTAGTAATGATGTTGGTGTATTGTGCTTTTTTTCCATTTTAAAGATTCTTAATTTGACAGTGTACTTCATGCTGAATAAATTTTTAAAATCAAGGAAAAGTGTACTCTTTTTCAGAAACCCTAAGCTGACAGGGGTGTCCAACCTTTGGTATGTCTGAGCCACACTTGAAAGAAGAGTTGTCTTGGGTCACACATATAAATACACAAACACTAATGAAAACTGATGAGTTAAAAAAAAAAAAAAGATTTTAAGTAAATTTACAGTTTTGTGATGGGCTGCAATTTATAGTCATCCTGGACCACAGATTGGACACTCCTGCGCCTGAGGAATTTCCTGGAGAAGTCATGATGACCATCAAGGAAGTTAGGTATTTCTGGCTGCTTCTGAATATTTATATCCGGAACATTTCATCATATAGTTAGTGTCTAATCTTTTGGCAGAATGATAGTTTTCTGGCATTATGTTTGATGCTACTTGGGAAAAGATTGATTCTTTTAATTTTAATTTATTTTATTTTTATTGTTGACATTTATTACAAAATGTCCCCATTCCTCCCCCGGCTGCCCACCCAGCCCCTGCCCCCTTTTTGTCTGCCCATCACCATTTTGTTTGTCAGTTTATTTTGTTCATTAGATTGTTGCCTTCTCAAATAACTAAAATGTTTACATTTTCGTAAGAACATTTACTTTGTACATTTTCAAAGTTTGTTGTAAAGCTTACACTGACTTCATAAGATTAGTATTGATACTAAGAAGATGAGAAGTAAATTTAGTTTGTGCAATCAGAAAATAAACTTATGATTTTAAGTGCTGTATGTATAGTATAGAGGAAAGTAGGACATGGAATTCGAAGTAGTAGAAAGTGGGTTTGAATCCTGGCAGAATTGCTCGCTAGCTGCTTTATCTTGGGGTGGAGGGAGAGTATTGTGTCAAATTGCCTACAAACAATAAATAGCTATTTTAATGTTAAGTATTAACATGAGCCTTTATAGAATTTTCCTTATAAGAATAAGTAGATTTGATATTAAAGTCTGAAGTTTATTTTTTATTTCTTAGCTGCATTTATCTTATCTGGTGCTTCTATTTGCTGTTCAGGTTGTAATTCTCAGAAATGCTAATAATATGTGAGATCAAAACTTTTAAAAATGATTTAGTTCCAACTTATGTCAGTTTTGCATTTGTTTTCATCAAGTGAAAATTCTCTATGATCAAAGTTATTTAGTAAAGTTAACAAGAAGTCATTTATCAAAATATTGATTGTTTTTGTATCTACTTTAAGTTTGATGAAATGTACACTATTATAAAGCAAAACTATATTTATAGTACTTCTTCACTGGAATCATTTTTCTTACTGTCTTACAACAAAATGTTTGTAGTTTTATTTGAACACTGAAGAAATTTTTGAGTGCAAAGAATGCTTGAGGAAAAGTTCCTGTATTAAAATAATCTCTAACTTGATTTTATTTGTATCTTCTTGGAAACTTAAAATTGAATTATTAGAATTCATAATGTTAAAGTTTTTTAAAGTCAGTTTTTAAGATTTCAGTTAATTTTGAATGTTCTGCATTGCTTTTTAAAGCAAAGAAGGGAAAATTGTTTTCTTTTTAAATAAAAAGACAGGTTTGCTTATTGTCTTGCCGATTTTTAAGTGACGCATTCATTCATTTCCCCATTGCAGCATTTTCTTTTGTAGGTTAACATGCTTGAGTAGATAGGCTTTACATACTGAGAATAATAATGTTCCTAATAATTAATGACCTCAAACTATAAAATTATATTTTTTGCAGTATCCCTTTTACTATTCAGCGACTATGTGAATTGCTAACAGATCCAAGGAGAAATTATACAGGAACAGACAAATTTCTCAGAGGAGTAGAGAAGGTATTTATTTTGTTATTGGAATTATATTAAACTGTAGCGTAATATATTTCAGAAAAACACATTAAGAACTGTTATAAGCACCTTTTCTTGCAATAAGTTTCCCAACCTACCTGAAGTTTTTTCTGAATTGTGATCAAAGTTTCAGAAAGATTTAATAGAGGGGCAAAGGAGGGCTTGTGATCAGTTAAGTTTAGGGAAGCAGCTTAGTATTATCTCTTGGATATTCATAGTATACTGCAACATACAAAATGTTCTGCAAAGTTCTATAATTGATATTTTAACTTCAATAGAGTATTTTTGCAAACTTGTTGTTCTGTGGAACTTATTTCAGTTTTAGAATTCAGAATATACAACTCTGAAAATCACCGAAGTAAAGTATTTAAATTAGATATTGAGAAAGATAAATGTCAGATTTAAGGATGAAGAACTAGGTTTTCTGTGAGTTGAGGGGATGCTAATAATAAGGGAAGGGCATTTTGGACAGACGAAACAGCATGATGAACAAAGACGTCATCAAGGTGTTTGAGGAAGTTGACTTGCGTAAAAGGAAGACAGTGAAGGAGCATTGGGAACTAAAATTGGACCAGCAAGCAGGTGGCTAAATCCCTCACTTTAGTGATTAATTCTAAAACATTGTCCAGTGTTCATTTTAAGATTATGATTCAAACTCAACTTATTTTATACCCTGGGAGCAAGAATCTAAAACCACTATTTAGTTACTGGGTTAATATTTTGAGTCTGTTTTCCTGGGGTATTAATGGTGGGACCCCAAAAAACCTGTAATTATCTTCTGGAGGGCAGGTCCTTTGAAGTACAGGCTTGCCTGCTAGGTGAGTGTTCTACGAAGCCATCTGTATCGGTGTACCAGCTCAGCTGATGGTGGTGTGAGAGGCTGCACAGGGCTTCGGTGAACTTTTGGGGGGAGGAGGGCTCTTTCAGCATGTTTGCCCATTTCATAATGGGTGATTTATGAGTGTGCACCTAGCCACGCCAGACTGAGTGTTCAGTTTTTGACCAAAACCAGCATGACCTCCCCTATATCCCCATGTCCCACCCTTCCTATTCATCCAGTCTCGCCCCAAGTGACTTTTGTGTGCATGTGTCCCTGGTGAAAAAAGTCCTCAAAGGGAAATGTTTTGCCGATGTGGAAGAGATGAAACAACAACAAAAAAAAAGCAGTAGAAGCACTAAAAAGCATCAAAATTGACAATTCAAAAACTATTTTGAGCAGTGAAAAAATGTCTACATAGATGTATTGCATCGAGTGGAGAATACTTTGAAGGTGACTGAAGTTTAAACATGTAACAGTAAATACGCAACATTGTAAATAAATTCCAGGGTTGTTTCTTTTTATTCCCCCTCCCCCCTCCTTGTATGATGCTGTACATCTGGCTTTGATTGGTACTGCTTTATAAGGAAATTGATTATACTTGCCCTAAAAGCTTTAATATCTGAGTATCTTGGGGTGATTCTGACCGAAATAAGTGGTGCACGATTCCACTCCACTGCATTCAATATGTAATGTTATGGCTCCAAAGTAACTAGAGTAAAAAGAAATAAGACTGGCAAAAATATAAGTGCATTAGTAGGATATTAGGTTTTGGTCTTTTTTTGTTTGTAAGTTTTTATTTTTAAACGTCTTTTCTTTTATTAGTAAAATCAGAATAAATGGAAACTTAATGTACCAGTATGAATTTGAAAAATTAAAAATGAGTGATTAAACTTTGTTGTAGTACTTTTCCTTGTATTAAAATCACCGATTTTTGTTTGCAGAATGTGATGGTTGTTAGCTGTGTGTATCCTTCTTCAGAGTAAGTACAGAGATTTTTCTATTTCTAGTATGTAACATTCTAATTATTATATTTCTAATATATTTGTCTTAAAATAGGTTGCATTTATTTTATGTCTAATTAAGCATGATAATATTTATAAATACTTGTGAATTTACCACCCAGTTTCCAAAGTAGAATATTACCAATAACATTACCTGTATGTTTTTCCAATAAAGGCATTTGGATTAAAGAAATTTGTGATTTACTATAATCTTTACATTGGTGGATTTATGTTATTACCATTGTCAGTTGGCCCTGGGACCCTATCCTAAACACCTTTCCCCGGGGCATCTTTAGGAATAGCTGATAGCTGCTTGACGACATTCCTCCTCATGATAGAAAACTATATTTTTAGTTCTCTAGATTTATATGGCAGATTAAGATGTCAGTTAATATTTGCACAGTCCTTGGTAAAATTAACATTTTGTTAATGAGTGGCTATTCTAGAAATTACAGGAGGTTTAGCAGTCAGTAGTGTCCCCTCTCCTTTCCTCCTCCCCAAATATTTTCAGACTTTGCCACGTGTCTCTTGGGATGCAGGGATGAGGAGGATGTTGCCTCCTGTTGAGAAACAGGACTAAATGAGTGAGAGGATCTAAAATTTCCATATGTAGGACATTGAACTTATTGGAGAATTGAACCAAAAGGTTATATAACTTGTTGGCTAGTTCCTAGTGGAAAATACGTATTAAACAGTTTAGATTTAAAGTTAAAAATATCTCTTGATTTCAGAGACAGAGACAGAATTTTCTTTTAGAATTTTTTAAAGAATATAACTATGTTGTTAATTAAGAGAATCCCATGATTGTTACTTCTTGCAGAGGATTATTGTTTGGTCCTGTGACAGTGATCTTACAAAGTTTAGACTCTTGATTCTTGTCAAAACTAAGACACTAAACCATCCATAATGGTGTTTGTTTTTGTTTTTGTTTTCTCATAGAAAAAACAATTCCAATAGTTTAAATCGAATGAATGGTGTTATGTTTCCTGGAAATTCATCAAGTTATACTGAAAGGTAATACTCTTAATTTTTAATATTCAAAGAGTTTACATTTCTCTAATATTGAGTAGCAGGCTCAATATACTTTTTAAAAATTGGGCATTTTATGGAGGATATAGAATATACTAAACAGAATTCGTTAATTTGGTAACCTATGGATATGAAAGTCAGTTACCTTGAAAGGTGTGACTTTTAGCAAAAGAGAAAAATGATGTTCATTTATCTTGCCACAGGTCTAATGTAAATGGGCCGGGAACACCCAGGCCGCTTAATCGACCAAAGGTTTCTTTGTCAGTTCCCATGACAGCAAATGGCTTGCCTGAGGGCACAGATGGCAAAGAGTCAAACTTACAGCAAAATGAGGACAAAAATCACAGGTTTGTTTGTGATTAATATTTTAAAAATAATATAAACTGTCAGCATTTATTGCCGATTTTCAGCACTCATAGTTTACAGTTCATTCTTGTTTGTGGTTTAAAACAGGTTTTAATGTGCTTAGAGGAGCTCTTAGCACATGCTGAAGATGGGCATAGAAAAGGAATAAAACCGATTAATTTGGGGAGGACCTCTTTAAAATAGTCTTAAGAAAATAAAGTGGTCATAATGCATTTTATGTCTTGTTTTTGAAAGTAACTAGAAAAGATATTTGTACATGAGTTGACATTTTGGGAATAATTTCTTATTGTAGATCATGAAAGGCAACATTTATATCCCATCTCAAATACTCTGCATTACTTTAAGGGAAAGAAGACTAAATGAGTGAGAGAATATAGAGAATTTCGTATGGAAGACTTGAGGTTTCACTTCTGTTTTAAAATTTTTATTTATTTACTTTTAAAGAGAGGGGAAGGGGGGGAGAAAGAGAGGGAGAGAAACATCAAGGTGTGGTTGTCTCTCACATGCCCCCTAAGGGGGACCTGTCCCGCAACCCAGGCATGTGCCATGACTGGGAATTGAACTGGTGACCCTTTTGTTCACAGGCTGGCACTCAATCCTGAGCCCCACCAGCCAGGGCAAGACTTGTAGTTTTATTATAGAAGGACATTTAACTTACTGGCATATTGAACAGAAAGGTCCTAATACCTTGTTGACTAGTTCCTAGTGGGAAATACTCATTAAACAGTTTGAGTTCCTTTGAAATTTTTCTCCTTATGTTTTTTTTGCCCGGATAATATAATTTAACTTTGATACTGAAATACAATTAAAAATTATTAGACCTTAAAGTAAGAATGGAGAAGATGAAGAAAATAATCTTACTAATGAAACTTTTAAAAAAACATTTACAGTGAGACTCTAACATCTGGATCAGAAGGTTCCTCAGTGAGCCCTGTAAAAAACAAACATCCAGATGAATATGCTGTGGAAGCTGAAGGGCATGAGGTAAAAAGACTTCGATTTGACAAAGAAAGTGAAGTCAGAGAGACAGCCAGCCAGACATCTTCCAGTGAAATTTCTTCGCTTATGGTAGAAGAAGCAGAAGCATCATCTTCATCTCAGGATAAAGACAAGGAAAGTAGTTGTACCAGGCGACACTGTATGGAAGAGGATGAAGAAGAGGATGAAGAGAAAGAAGAAGGTATTTAGAGACCATCTGTAAAAGGGTGGAGTAAGGAGATCCTCAAATTCTTGTACTTCATTTTTGCGTGAAAGAATGTAACATAATGGAATTCCTTAGAATGCTGATGTTGGGCTTTTCTCCCACATTTATTTAGTTGCTGCTGAGTTTCAGGGGATATGATTTGAACTGTAGAATATCACAATTCATGAAACTTAACTTTTGGAGGTATTTTGAAAATAAAATTTAACTACAACAACATTTGCTTATTTTTAGAGTCTTTTATGACATCAAGAGAAATGATCCCAGAAAGAAAAAACCAAGGAAAAGAATCTTATGATGCCTTAACTGTGAATGAAGAGACTTCTGAGGAAAATAATCAAATGGAGGAATCAGATCTGACTCAACCTGAGAAAGATTTACATTCTGAAGATAGTGAAAATATAGGCCCTGAAAGTAGTGGTTCTGATTGCCATGAAACAGAAGAATTAGTAGGATCCAGTTCCAGTAAAACTGAAGAAATTCTCTCAGAATCATCCATGGAAAATGATGACAAAGCCACAGAAATCATAGAAGAACCAATGGAACAAGACTAACTGTTTAGAAACATTTAGATACAGTATTTTACATACAGTTCTGGTTTTACACTGTATAGAACTTTTATGTAATAAAGTGGACCTTTAGTTTTACAAGAGAAGCAGGTTGTAAAATAAAGTATTTTGTGGAATAAACCCAGAAAGAGTTGTACATATAAGAAATGTGACTATCAGCTCCTTGGGTCCTGCTTACCGCTGACTTTTTTTGGTTTGGTCAAATCAGTGGTTTATGTATAGATTTTTTTTTTAATTTAGAACTAAAGTTTTTAAACTGGAAAGTAATTATTATTTTGAAAACCTTTTGGAGATTATTTAGTTTATACATACACAAGAAAGCTTTTTGTCTTGTCTCTTTCTGACAGCTCTAGCAGTTTTCATATTTTGGTCATAGTTGCAACATTTTAACGTGAATTATAGGGTTTCATGTTTATTTCCAGATTTTATTGTTTGATTGTGTACAATGGAACTTTAAGTCATATATACATACATATATATACACACACACACATATATATTCTAAAGGGGGAAAATGTTATATTTTTGTTTCTATAAGAGATGAATAAATACAGTGGATACTTTTTCTATTGGTAATAATTGAGTTCACTTTCAGAAGATAGTTTCTTTCTCTTCTGTGTAATTCAAATATAATCTGGCCCTTCAGCAACCCTGGAAATCTTAAGTATGTTTAAATACCCAAGTAAACACATTCCAAGAGATCTGTTCAAACAAATTAAAAATGTTTTGTATATTTCTGAGGTGCCTGAGAAAAGATTTCATTATTTATGAGAACATGTGCTTTATCTTGGAAATTGTGTTCAAACATTAGCATACTATTTTGTAGAATGAATACTTACAAAACTGACAGGAAAACATCTCAGAAGAACCGGGCAGGTTCCTTAAACTTTGGCTTGTTTTTTTTGAACATTGTGAATATTACACGTTCTTTTAAATTATCCTGCAGTATGCAAATGTTAGTGATATGAAACACCACTGTACTGGAAGAACTAATATATTACTTTAGTAATGTACTGGAGCTAAATGATAAATGACTAAAGCTTTAGGGGTACATAGAAACCACCATAATTTGTATGACATTTTGAAGTGAATTAAATATTTTTAAACATGCTTCTTCAACAGCCAGTGTTATAGTTTTCAGACCGACACAAAGCACAATGGTTACTTTAAACTCAATATTTTCAAGTTCACATGTATAGTGTCATGCAAGTTGCAATTTCTCTGGCACAATTACTGGCTGCCAAATTTATACCTGTTTCTTCAGCTGTACCTTTTGATATTTAGAGTTTTTAAATTCTGTAAAGTAGATTTTGTAGAATGTAATGTGTTCACTGCCTTTGTGATGCGGTGTTTAACTATAATTTCTGTGTGTAAACTGAATGCTTGAGCTTTCAATACAGTATTCATATAAAGCAATAAATACTAATGCTATGAAATATTTGAGTACATTTTTATCAGAATATAAAATAATTCCTTTTTTAGTTTCAAATACCTTACGTACACAGATGAACTTATAAAACTGATACAAACGATTTCTAATACTGTATCGTATGCTTTTGGGTGATTTGGGTGGCAACCACAATTTTGCATTTTGACTACTTAAATTGCTATGACTAAAAATACCAAAATGATTTGGCTCCATTTATGTTTATAGAGTAATATACTACTGACTGACTTGACTGTCATGTTCACAGCAGCTAGGTGATGATGTATTTATGAATGTGTCTAATAGTTACAATAAAAACTATTCATTTACTGTAATCGAAGGGAGAAGTAGCTCTCACAAATTTTTTTTTTTAAAGTTTTTACAGAAATGTTAAAATGAAGCAAATTTTAAATGTGACATTCATTTTTAGTGACCTGTTTGTTAACCTTATTTGTTGAGGGATATTTTGCCAATGAGAACAGATTGTAAACATTTTAAGTTAAGAAATCTTGAAATTTTCTTTAGAATATTTATGAAATTAATGTCAATAAACATGTTCTTTAAGATCCTGTGACCTTTTGATATTTTTATTTTAATTGTGTCATGGACCATTTGTAAACAAATAAATTTACTCTTGTTGCTTATAAATTGAAGTACTAGCATCATGACTTTGAGGTCTGTGGTTTTATTTATAAACTTGCAGTTGTTATTTTTGCAAGTGCAAATGTATATCTTTATTAAATAAAGTACAGTAATGGTGAATGTACCAAAATGCTGTCACTTAACTCTATGAGAGTTCTGCATTTTGACTTGTAGTTTAAAATTTTTAATATTTATTAGATAGTCTTATGCCGATCGTAGATGGAACTTGTTGCTTTTTATATATAGATAATTGTTGGATGCTCACGGGGTATCTTTAGAATATATGGGATACTTCTGTACTTAAATTGGGAAACCTTGTTTAGCTGGTTTAAGATACTGATGCCCATTTGGAAGTAAATTTCCACAAGTATATATAGGTGCACCTACACAGACTTCATGAAAATGTTCTAATAGTTAGTAACTGACTCACATGTGAATTTTTAAAAGACTAATTTTAGGCACATTTTCTTAACCCAAAGCAAAATCATATTAAAAGATCTAAAGAATGTTAATGATTAATTTTAATCTCAGTGATTAAAATTTTCTTTTTTTGTTTTGGAGCAGATTATTTACCCGTAAGACTAGACTTTAAACACAACATGCAAAAAGACTTTAAAATTCTTGCTGGTCAAAAAAGTGAGAATAGGACTTCCGCCAAGATGGAGGCATAGATGGAGATGCTGTGCTTTCTCCCACAACCAAGTTTAGAGACAACAAAATACTAGCAACAGAAAACACAGCCAGAACACAGAAAACTGAACTTTTCGGAAGTCTGATAACAAATTCTTCAGCCTGACCAGTAAGAGGGGCAAAGCCAGCAGCTGTTGGAGCGGGGTTGCACAGGAAAACTCGCTCAGACGGACTCAGGCGCACGGATTCCAGGTGTGGGGTTGCAACAGGCAGACCCAGTGAGCGACCCAGTGAATGACTGGTGTACCCAGCAAGGGTGCAGGGCGGCGGGTTGACTGTGGTCCTGCATTCGTGCTCAGATAGATCAGCGAGGGAGTGGGTGGTGAGACAGTGGGACCTGGTAGGCCCCAGCGGCCAGAGGCAGCAGAGGGGGCCGCCATTTCCCCGCTCTGACCCCACCCCCACATACAGTGTCAACCCAGTGACTGGGTCGCCCTGCCCTGGTAAACACCTAAGGCTCTGCTCTTCATAAGTGCAGACGAGAACAGACCAAAAATAGCTCAAGAAAATCTCAAAGCCCCAGAGCCCATAAATCTAAGCGATGAAGAAATAGCAAAACTTTCAGATGCACAGTTCAAAACACTGGTGATCAGGATGCTCACAGAACTGGTTGATTTTAGTCACAAATTAGAGGAACATATGAAGGCTAAACTAATTGAAATGAAGGGAATTGCACAGGAAACCAATAATGATGGAAAGAAACTGGGACTCAAATCAAAGGAGTGAACCAGAAGGAAGAAAATAATGGCTAAACAGGAAAATATGAAGAAACAAGAATTCAAAAAAATGAGAAGAGACTTAGGAACCTCCAGGACATCTTTAATCGCTCCAACATTCGAATTATAGGAGTACCAGAAGGGGGAAAGGAACAGCCACCAGTGGAAAACTTATTTGAACAAACAATAAAGGAGAACTTCCCCATTCTGACGAAATAGACTTCCAGGAAATCCAGGAAGCTCAGAGAGTCCCAAAGAAGTTGGACCCAAGAAGGAACACATCAAGGCACATCATCATTATATTAGCCAAGATTAAAATGAAGGAGAGAATCCTAGAAGCAGCAAGAGCTAAGGGGACATCACCTACAAAGGAGTTCCCATCAGACTGTCAGCTGATTTCTCAAAAGAGACCCTACAGGCAAGAAGGGGCTGGAAAGAGGTATTCCAAGTCATGAAATCCAAAGACCTACAACCAAGACTGCTCTATCCAACAAAATTTTCATTTAGAATGGAAGGACAGATAAAGTGCTTCTCAGATAAGATCAAATTCAAGGAGTTCATCATCACCAAGTCCTTATTATATGAAATGTTAAAGGGACTTACCTAAGAAAAAGAAGATAAAAAAGATGAACAGTGAAAGGACAGCAAACTCACAGTTATTAAGAACCACACCTAAAACAAAAGCAAATGGACACCTAGATCAGGAGTGAACCATAGAAATGGGGATCACATGGAGGGTTAGCAACAAGGGAGTGGGAGAAGGAGAAGGGGGGAAAAGGTACAGAAAATAAGTAGCATAGACGGTAGGTAGAAAATAGCTAGGGGGAGGACAAGAATAGGAGGAGAAATATAGAATCTAAAGAACTTGAGACACGTGGTCATAAACTAAAGGGGGGAATGGTGGGGGAGGGGGTGTGCAGGGTGGAGGGGAATGAAGGGCATAGAACAACTGTAATGGCATAATTAATAAAATATATTTAAAAATAAAAGAATATATGCATAATACATCTTTAGTACTTTTCCCATTTAAAAAGTAAAAATATTAAATTACATTTTTTAATGTAGCTTTTCAGTTTTGAAAATGTAGCAGAACAGAAGTTAATTGAAAATGTCCTATTTTAAAAGTTAATTATTAAATTTAATCTGGTTGGGATTGATTATAACTGCACCTATCAGAGGTGAGGACTGAGTAGTGAAATTGCCTGTGAGGGAGCTATGACCCTTTGGCTTGGAAAGGCATCCATGCAGTTCTGATCCAGACAGTGTGACTCTTAAAAACATTGAGGCTTAGAATACTTTGCTGGTGTAGATTGGCATGTATTTATGCATTTTTAGATCTGTAAAGTCAGCAGTTTTTTAAATAATATATTGGTTTACTTGTAAAGTTACTTTGGCAGAATCTAAAGCTGCTACAGTGTTTGATTATAGGAAATGTAACTTGGGGTAAGGATCAAAACACAACTTGTAGAAGCAAAGGAAACAGAAATTGGGGTAGTGTTTCAAATTATCTTCTGAACAGAACTTTCTTAAATACATGGATTTTGGTCAAATGACACCACCCAGTTATCTCTTGAGAGTTGTGCTAATCATAAAATGGATAAGTGCAAAAACACCTTGTGCTTTCATATGCAATTATAATTAGGTTTATTGGATTATTGGCCTAATAGGAGTGCTAGGATGTATTGGTCAGAATATATATAATATTTCACATTTAAAAAGCAGAACACTTTCATGGTTATATTTCAAGTTGGAGTCTAGACTACTTTGCCAAATGTATTATTTTCATAATGCAATAAAATATAAATTAGAAGATTATATGTGCAATTATTTCCTGTAGTAGTTTACAAGCCCCTCCCTGCTTTTTCCATCCCACTGACCTCATACTTCAGGATCCACAAGTATTTTCTGATCTATAGGGAGGAGAAATTAATGCATTCATTACTTTATTATAGTTCTGTTTCTTAAATGGTGACTATTTTCAAAGAGGGTGCTTCTGAGTTGGACTAATATCCAACAAGATTTATATTCACCATGTCAAAATTTCTTGGCATAATTTGGCTCTATTATGTATGCATAGATCTACAACATTTGTTTAGAATCATTTTAGAAATCTCTCAGACAAGTACATGGTGTAAGAAGTGTAGAGGTGTAGAAGTGTAAGAAGTGGTGTAAGTCTTTTTCTTACCTAAGAAAAAGAAGATAAAAAAGATGAACAGTGAAAGGACAGCAAACTCACAGTTATTAAGAACCACACCTAAAACAAAAGCAAATGGACACCTAGATCAGGAGTGAACCATAGAAATGGGGATCACATGGAGGGTTAGCAACAAGGGAGTGGGAGAAGGAGAAGGGGGGAAAAGGTACAGAAAATAAGTAGGGCGATGTAGAATCGCCCTAAGTGGAGAGGTTAGGTTTTGTTTTCAATTCTGGGCTCTCATTACTTGATACATATTGCACAGTAGGTGATAGAATATAGTGTAACATCTGTAGCTCTGAATTCAAGAAAGATTGGAGTACTAATTAGCATGTTTCTGAATTGTTACAAAATAGGTTTGAGTTTCAACCTAATATTCTCACTTTACTTACTAAGTGGTATAGCTAATAGAGAATTTTAAGTTAATGATAGGAAGATTGATTCTTCTACTGACTAGGAGTAAAATGTGCAGTCTGGCTACTTAGCTGTCTAGAATGTTACCTTGTGTTCTAACACAAGCTTTACAACACGTTTCTTTTGTTGGTTTTTTTTTAACAGATTTTTCTGGTCTTTGAATTTATTTAACTGGGCCCATAAAAATAAGTTAGTTGGTATTCTCAGTATAGTTTCTTATGAATTGTTAGAAGTGTAGCTTTCGGGCTGTTACCTATAATGCTATTAGTCCTTAATAGCATTTGAGTGGTTTACTAGTTAGGCATTAGTAGTTAAGCATTTATAATGTTTCTGTTAGAAAACGTGGTCCATTTCCTAATGTGGGTTTGTCAAAATGCCTTTCCCACTTTTGGCAATGTAAGGGAGAATTCCATAGATTGAGGTGTGGCAGGGAGACTCAAGCATTGCCAAATAATGCCAGTTATTTTCATGTTGGATATGGATATGAGTAACAAACTACTAAATATATCTTACTGTTTGGTGATTCAGAATGCAACAGAATTTGCAGTGCCTTGCAGTCATGATGTTTTTGTATTGAATATTAGAAATATATTATAGATACAGGAGGTTGGCGAAAAAAATTCAATATATAAAACTCCCTCTAAAAATTAACAGCACAAAGAATTCCAGGTGTTTGTTCACTTTGGATTCTATGTAATGCATTTATGGTTTTCAAATTTCACTT